TATTGGAGAGTTGGCAAAGGAGAATTGGAGGTTGTTTGAAATGAGGGACATCACAGCCAGTTGATACTTACCATCCAAATGGAAATGCACCAGGATCAGCCTCATAGGCTAGATACACCCCAGCAGCTGGGGAACCAGAAACCCAGTAAAAATCAGTCTCTTGGCACAAAGGAGTGGGAGGGATTAAACAACTACCCACATTCTTCTCCTTCAAAATTTACTTCACTGGCACTTTTGAAGCAAGTACAAAGATGATGAGGAATGCTCTTCACAGAATGGGTGCAGGCTTCTTAAAGCTCTCTCCCTTTTCTCCAGTTTAGGCAAAAGTATGTGGATTTATTTCATATACCATGCCTTGGTCTATTTCTGTACCTGGGAACAGGAGCTTTGATGCCTTGACCCTCTGAGCCGAGTCCTTCACCTTCTTTCCAGCCCATTTTCATTAGCATCTGGTAACCAATGTTCTCTACTGTAATTTTGAAATCCTTGTAATCAGAGTAATCAGGCTCTCTTCCTTCCTGTAAGAGAGACGAGAGTGCAAAAGCATTCAGACATGGTACTGATGGGCATAGAAGTATGCATGTATTTATATATACTTCATCCTGGTGCTAAATGACTCTCATCCGTTTCTGGTTCAGCAACCCAACACTTTTAAAATTTATTTTCCTAAGTTTTCAAAACTCCCCATCTGCTCCCCTCTGCTTACTGTCACTATAATCTACTCCAGCCCTCTCCAACATCTCAGCGCTGTCAGTCCTAGGCCGGTGCAATGATTTGTATCAGTCCATAACTGTCAGCAACATATGAGGTTGTTGACTTGCTCGCCGAGCTGGCTTGTTCTCATTCAGACGTTTCGTCACCATGCTAGGTGACATCATCAGTGCAGCCTCCGATGAAGCGATATTATTCTACTTCGCTTGGAATTTATACTGTCTGGTCCGTTATGGTGAGTAGTGTCATTTCTGGTTTTGACCTGTATGGGTTTGTCTATGGGGTCCAATTCTATATGTTTGTTGATTGCATTGCGGGTGGAGAACCATGCCTCCTAGGAATTCCCATGTGTGTCTATGTTTGGTTTGGGCTACTACAGTTACCTTGTCCCAGTTAAACTGACGGCCTTCATTGCCTGAACATCAACTAGCAGCAAAACGGCATGACGAACTCTCCTTAATATCGATCGGTACACTCAGACAATGAAGGCGTAAAGACCGTTTTCTATAATGTAGACCTCTGATTCTATGCACAGCTTGGAGGAAACAATAATTGGCAGTGGATCTTTAGAAATCTAGCCCTGAAGCACTGGAATTCCCTCCATAAATCTCTCCATTACTCACTCTCTCTCCTCTTCCTAACCATTTTTTTTTTTTAAAAACACCAAAATTTTTGACCAAGCTTTTTACTCAATTGTCCTGATTACATCTGTCGGTGACTCAGTGTCGGTTGTTGTTTGATGACATTCCCATGAAACACCTTGGGATGTTTCCACCATCTTAAGAAGGAAATACACAAATACAAGTTGCTGTTGTTGTAAATTTTATTATGGATCATAAAATGGTGGCACTTCACATGGAATACCATAGATGCAAAATCTGTGACTTTCTGACATGCACTAGCTACCGTTGAGGTACTACTGGTGGTGCAGAACCTCGTAAAACTTATTTTTACAATTACTTACATGGGTCCAATCCTACTGACACACCCTGAGATAGAAGCCTGGGTCCTTAATTAAGGATAGCTTGAGTGAACTAACGTGAGCCATAGTCATTTAGTCATACAGCATGGAAACATACCCTTCGGTCTAACTCGTCCAAACTGATCATGTTCCCAAACTAAACTAGTCTCACCTGTCTGCAGCTGGCCCACGTCCCTCCAAACCTTTCTTTCTCATATATTTATCCAAATGTCTTTTAAACGTTGTAACTGTACCTGCATCCACCACTTCCCCTGGCAGCTCATTTCAGATACAAATCACTCTGTGTAATAAAATGGCCCCTCGTCCATTTTTAAACCTTTTCCTCTCAATACCCCAACCTAGGGAAAAGACCCTTGCTATTCACCTTATCTACATCCCTCGTGATCTTATAAACCTCAATCTCCTACGCTCCAGTGAAAAAAGTCCCAGCCTATCCAGCCTACTTATAATTCAAACCCTCCACTCCCAGTAACTTCGTGGAATTGGAAAAATTGCAAGCAATGGACCCCTGTCTTGTTTACTGAGTGCAGCATTAAATGAGCTGGCAAGTCTCTATTAAAATGTAGTGGATACAAACTGACAGCATACTCCAATCCCTAATCTGCATTGTGGAGGAAGCTTAACTCTTCATCTAAATCCATGCTGCTCCTGTCCTGGCAGCATTTGATGGGAACAGCTTTCCATTCAGTTTAAAAGTGTAGAGAGAGCTTTACTCTGTATCTAACCCTGCACTGTACCTGTCTTGGCAGTGATTGATATGGGCAGTGTAAAGGAGACCTTACTCTCCATCTAACCCCATGCTCTACCTGCCCTGGGAGTGTTTGATAAGGACAGTGTCAAGGGACCTTTACTTTCAGTGAAAACAGTAGAGGGAGTTTTACTCTGTATCTAACCCTATGCTGTACCTGCCTTGGTAAACATATAAAAGAGTTACCCAAAGTAGCAACAGCCATATTCCACTCTTTGTAGTAATTTTGGATAAGTTAACTTACCTTCAGAGCTTTGAATGTCTCCATGAATTTGTCCAGTTCATCAGGGGGTAGGAAATCTCCAATAAAATGTTTACCTCGACCCATCTCAGTCAGCTGTTCTGCCCATTCTATTAAAGATCATCAGAAATTGTAATAGAATACAAGAAAGAACTGGGTGAGTATATTGTTAGTGGTGCGCGCTTCCTAGTATCAGGGACATGATTTTAGAAGTGGGAATTGTCCTTTTGGCCCCTTAAGCATGTTCTAACTTTTAGTACATTTAAACGTGATCTTCTTCCTCAATGTCCACGTTCCTGTATTGTCCCTCTATTCTTCAATAACATCCAAACATCCATCAATCCCTGGATTGAATGTACTCAACAATAGAGTTCACAGCTTGCTGGGGTACGGAATCTCAAAGATTAGCAGAATTGTTAGGAGGCCATTTGGCCCAATATATCAGCACTGTATCTCTGATCATTTTAACTTAGTGCCAATCTGAAGAAGTCATGTCAAAACTTTAACTCTTTTTGTCTTCACAGATGCTGTCAGACCCGCTGAGTTTCTTCAGTATTTTCTGAATTTATGCCAATCTCCTGCCTTTTCCCTGTAACTTTGCACATGGTATCTTTTAAATCAGCCAATGCCCTCTTGAATGCCTCAATTGAACTTGTCTCCATCACACTTCCAGCAGTATATGGTCACATCGCTTTCAGTGAAAATATTCACATTTTAATTCTAAATTGTCAGCCCCTTTCTGATTCGGTGACCTCTAAATTTGTCAACCGGGGAAACTGTCAGCGTTGACCTGGTCAACTCCTTAAGACATGCCACAGAACATGACCAGGGGTTCTGAAACGAGGAGGAATTTAGCCCCACTTCAGTCTTTAACCATTTTCCCCAGTGTAGTACTATCAAGGGCCTGAAGGTGCACTGACGACCTCAGGGTGTCCCTGAGCACTTCAAGCCAATAAAACCCATTTGAAGGTTTCAGATAAGCACAGACCACCAGGAGACATTAAGGACATCTTGACATCACCCACAGTAGATGCCAGCTTGCTTATTAATCCTTTACAAGCCCCTTAAGCTAGATCTACACCACACTCCCCTGACCCGGTGTTTACCACTGACCTCTGCAGAATGCTGCCACCCCACATTTACCTCTAGTCTTCTCCATCTCCATATGTCGCAGACGATGTTCCCATGTACCAGCATCACCATCAATCTCTTCATCACTGTCATATTCATGCCTGTGATCCTGAATGGCTTTTTCCCACATCATCTGCATCTCCTGCATGGCTTGCTTGTGCTTCATGATCATGTCATACATTTGCTGCATCTGCAAACAAGCCAGAGGTTACCTCAGATATTCTGCCAAATACCTCCAGGATATTTCATCTCCTCACACCTTCCTTAGAATCCCACCTCCTCCTTCTCTTTCCCATCTCACCTCTGGGAAGTTTCAACTCCGTCTTGCATTCTATAATGCACACAACACTTTACACTGCCTTTTGATTTCTCTAAAATGATACTATCACGACCCCCTCACACTCACATTATGCAAAGCCTAATCTACACAAGCACACCCTGTCCAATCTGCCTTTAATGGTAATGTCTTTCTCTATAATGCTGCCTAGCTCTTCTCAGTTAATGACCCTATACAGCTGCGTCTTGCACTGTAAAACAACCCTTCCCAATTCCTCTTCAGCTCTCTCTCAACTCCACAGGACAGTCTCCCTATTCTGTTGATATTGCTGTACACTCCCTCAGTGGCCCTCTGTAAGTGACTGTCCATTTTTTCCCTTTATTCTTTCATGGTTACTGGTAACGCTTACTGGTAAGGCCAGCATTTGTTGCCCATCCCTTAAATGGAGTGCCTTGCTAGGCCACTTCAAAGGGCAGATCTGAGTCAACCACATTGATGTGAGTCGAGAGTGAAGACCAGGCTGGGTAAGAACAGCAGATCTTCTTCTCCAGAGGTCATCAGTTTGGATTTTCCAGAAATCAACAATTGTTGTGATGTCACTGTTACAGAGATTGGCTTTATATTCCAAAATCATTCAGTGAATTTAAATTCCACCAGATACTAGTGTGTTTTGACCCCACGTGTCAAACCATTAGCCTGGGCCTCAGGATTACTATTCTAATATTACCACACCACCACCATATTCCCTACTCCTTTACAAATGACGCTGCTTGGTTCTCCTCCTGTTGTAGCTGCATGGTTCAGTGTTGAATTCTCCCCCCATCTTTGCTGCTCCTAAATCTCTCAGCATCAGCTGCTGTTTCCCCTCTCTCGACAATTATCACTCACCAATAGCTGTATACCTTTTTTAACTCTTTCTTGCACTAAGTTCACTGGCCTAAGAACGCTCCCTCTCTCTCTGGATCTCTAAGTATTGTAAGTCACAGTCCCTATTGAAGTTCTTTTTCTAATCTTACATTAAATCAGCAGCTTCACAATGGTAATTAGGGGATGGATAATAAAATACTTGCATTGCCAGTGACACATTTAATGACTAAACTTTCAAAAAGCTTTACTTTTCAACTAGTTTGAGAAGTTGCTGTGAAAAGGGTGCATTTGGAAAAGCAGAATAAGCTTCAGTTCTTCAAAGCACCAATAAAGGAGTGAGCATAGTGCAAAAGTCAGTGTTCAAGTATAAGAGATTAACCAAAGGTGACTGCCTTTAGCTGGCAATGCTGCAGGTCAGAAGCAAAGCAGGACACAGCATTAAATGCCTAGAAACAGGCCGCCTCCAACCACTGCTGCTGCAGAAATGGTGGTGTCCTTCGTCACTGCAGGGCTGCACTCCCCTTGGTCACACCCTGCCATTAAAGGTTGTCTTATTGGGATTTACCTCCTGCTGTTCCTTTAACTGTTTCTTCTGTGCATCACTGAGTTCGTTGACTCCCACCAATCCGACCGGCTTACCTTTCTGATAGCCAAGACCCTTCAAATCCTGAGCTGCAATCACACACACATACACACAAGAGACATTACTTTCGCAAGAGTTAACAGGGTAGCATTTACAATAAGGCCCCAGGAACCCATTTGTCCATTGGCTCCATTTGACTATTGGCCTCCATTCACAAAGCACATAGCCCACATTGCAATTTCCCATCACTCTCCACTCCCTCCTGTACAGGGAGAGAAGGAAATGTTCAGAAACAGGGTGATTCCAGCTTCCACACAGCACGTGAAATGGTTACATAATCATACAATACAGATGGAAGCCATTCAGCTCCTTGTGCCGGAGATTAGTCCCATTCTTCCTGCTCTTTGCTCACAATCCTGCAAACTTTTCCTCTTCACATATTTACAGTTTGCTTATGTCTTTGGTCTCAATACCTTGCTGTGTGGGAGGGGAAATCATCAATCTGGCAATGCTCTCACTGTTGGGGCATCACTGCAGCAGGTCCATCTCCCAGATCAGCTCACTGGGTCAAAGTATTGCTAACTTTGAGCCCTGCTTCGAGCCATGATCTCTGATACAAATGTTAGTGACAGTCCATCAATCTAACCACACATCATGTGAGATATGGCTTGAATACAGAGTGCAAGAAAATGTACTTGCTACAAACCAATTTGGACTGGGTAGTGGGGGCTTCAGGCAACAGAGACACCCACTCAGGCTCCAAGAAGCCTAGAGTTAAAAAGGATGAAGTCCCTACAATCCAATGTGCAAAGCCAGTGATCAGCAACGAAGGCCATGTTCCTTTGTACCTCAGCCGAACGTAGAATGGACAGGAATTGTATCCTTGCTACAAGAGCTGAAACACCACAACCAGTGATAAGAAACTTTTACATGAAATAACAATCATTTAGCGCAACAAGCCTAATCCTTTCCTGACAATCTCAAATGCTCAATCTCCCATATCCCTCAAATATCTAACTTCTCCTTCTTAAAAACTCATTCACTTTCCCCATGTACACATTTATACTGTCCATCCTCCTTGGCAACTTACCCTACCACTCCAGGTTGCACCTCCCTCCTGTTCTTATCCCCAACATTCTGTGCCACACGTCCCATAAGACATTACCTCATTTGCAGAACTTACTTGTTAAGCCAGGCACTTGCATTGAAAAAGCCAATTCAGGAGGAGGAAGTTCAATTTTATCGTCTTCTGGGCCCCAGCGGCTCTTCTTTTTCTTTTTAAGTGAGGACGAGGAACAGGAAGAGGAAGGCGGAGGTGCTGGCACAGGTGTAGGTTCCTGGGGAGAGTCACTAGAAACAGGCTCAGGAGAGCTCTTCCGTTTCTGTGGGGTGGAAGAGGACATCGCCATTAAACTGGCTTGGACGGCCTTCTGCGCGATGGTCTTCACTTTGCAGAAAACTTCAACTGTGTCCCTGTAGTATCGATATGCATCGCTATTTTGATCATAGAGAAACCTACAGAGATGAAAAGAACTGTTCAGTACTTCTGTGCTAGAGAACTGTATACTTAGATTCATAGAGTTTAACATTACAGAAGGAATAAGATAGGTCAGTCCATTATGCAATTGCCTAATCTCAGAAAGAACCATCACTTTGTCCATATCATCCTTTCAAATATTTACTGATGCCTGTTCCTGTGGTAAATACCATTACAGATTCTACTTCCAATCCTCCTGATAGTAGGGCTTCATATCCCAGGAATCATCTACAGAAAAGAAAAATACTTCTCCTGAAGTCCCTGCTATTCTTGGTATTAACCACATGCCCAATGATTTACTGAATCACTGGTTGGCAGTTTTATCAGTAATGTTGACTACTTCCATCAGATCTGCACACCTTGTCTGAAGTCCTGTCTATCCTCATAATTAAACACCACCCACATGCCGGGCACCCAGGTAAGGTCCTTTGCATCCTCATCCCACCATTTATAAAGTAAGATTTCCAAATTGGCCAGAAGAACTTTCATTTATACAGCGTCTTTAATCTAGAACAAACTTTTCTCCAAGCCATTACTGAAAGCTTCTGTTACCTGTTCATAAGAACCTAAGCACTAGGAACAAGAGTAAGCACTTCAGCTCCTTGAGCCTGCTCCACCAAATAATTCAATCGTGGCTGATTTTCTGAAGAAGGGTCTAGGCCCGAAATGTCAGCCTTCCTGCTCCTCTGATGCTACTTGGCCTGCTGTGTTCATCCAGCTCTATACCGTGTTATCTCAGATTCTCCAGCATCTGCAGTTCCTACTATCTTTGAACAAGACCTCTTTGCTGCGTGGGACCTCCGACCAACGCTATACACTAGATACAGTAACGACATTTTCTTCCTTTGGACTCATGGCAAGGAATCACTGAAACAACTACATAGTGATATCAACAAGTTTCATCCCACCATCAGACTTAACATGGACCATTCTTTAGAACCAGTCTCACTCTTGAACGCACGCATCTCCATCAAGGATGGACACCTCAGTACCTCATTCTACTGCAAGCCCACGGATAACCTCACAATGCTGCACTTCTCTAGCTTCCACCCTAAACATATTAAAGCCACCATTCCCCAAGGACAAACCTTGAGCATACACAGGATCTGCTCAGATGAGGAGCAACGTGACGGACACCTGAAGGTTTTGAAGGACGCCTTCATAAGATGATGCTCAACTCATCAGTCACCAGTTTCGACGTGCCAAGGTGCAAACCGCAATGACCTCCTCAGAAGATACACAAGATACAACCAATAGGGTACATTTCGTCGTGCAGTACTTCCCTGAAACGGAGAAACTACAATGTTCTTTGCAGCCTTCAACATGTCATCGATGGTGATGAGCATCTCACCAAGATCTTCCCTATGGCTCCACTTCTCGCCTTCAAACAACTGCCAAACTTTAAACAGACCATTGTTCATAGCAAACTACCCAGCCTTTAGTACAATATCGGCCACAACAACACACAACCCGGTCATGGCAAGCTCTGCAAGACATGTCAGATCATCAACATGGATACCACTATCACACATGGAAACACCACCCACCACGTACACAGCAGATACTCATGTGACTCAGCCAATGTTGTCTATCTCACACCACAGGCAAGGATGCCCCGAGGCATGGTATATTGGAGAAACCATGCAGACGCTTCCACAATGGATGAATGGACACAGTGCGACAATCGCCAGATAAGAATGCTCGCTCTCGGTCAGGGAACACTTTAGTGGTCAAGGGCATTCAGCCTTCGATCTTCGGGTAAATGTCCTCCAAGGCAGACTTCAAAATACACAACAATGCAGAATCGCTGAGCGGAGACTGATAGCCAAGTTCCATACCCACGAAGATAGCCTCAACCGTAATCTTGGATTCATGTCTCGCTACAGGTGACCCCACCACGCTATTCTGTATCTGTAAAATCTTCCTTACTGTCCTATTTTGACAGTATTACCTTGATAAATTGTTATGATCTCTCTACCTTAATTAGTTTGTACAGTTTTTAAATTTTGCATGCAGTTCTAATCATTTAGTTTGTCTCCAGCACACCTTATTTTTAATATTTTGTAATTATCTCTCTGCCTCACTTAATCGGATTATAGGTCATCCCTTCGCTAGCTATTAAACTGTTGACACTTTTACTTACCGTCTAACACTCTCAGTCACCTGCACAGACTTATCATCTGACAATCCACTCACACTAGTTGTATGATCATAGAATCCCTACAGTGTGGAAACAGGCCCTTCGGCCCAACAAGTCCACACTGACCTTCAGAGCATCCCATCCAAATCCATCCCACATAACTCACTTAATCTACACATCCCTGTACACTATGGGCAATTTAGCATGGCCAATCCACCTAGCCTGCACGTCTTTGGACGGTGAGAGGAAACCCGAGCACCCGGAGGAAACCCACGCAGCCACGGGGAGAATGTGCAAACTCCACACAGACAGTTACCCAAGAGTGGAATTGAACCTGGGTCCCTGGCACTGAGAGGCAGCGGTGCTAACCACTGAGCCACCATGCCACCCTAAAGACAGACCTTTTGATCTCTCTGCCCTTAATCTCTCTGCCTATAAACTCTGGGTCTGTGTGCTCTGCTCTCTCACTGCACCTGACAAAAGGGGCAGCACTCGAAAGCTTGTGATTTCAAATAAACCTGTTGGACTATAACCTGATGTCATGTGACTTCTGACTTTGTCAGAATAAGGGCTCAGTCGTTTAGGACCAGGAGGAGAAAATAACATTTTCTCCACTCAGCAGGTTGTGCAACTTTGAAATTCACTACAGAGAAGGTGCTTTGTCACTGATTACAATCAGGACTGAGACTGATAAAGTTTTGGGAAGTAAGAGAATTGAGGGATATGGGGTTAGGGTAGGAAAGTGGAAGCAAGAGGGTAGATCAGCCAAGATGTCCCATGATGAAGCAAGTTGTGATGGGGATGTCAGATTACTTATACCAGCCCTTATTCTTTAAATTTCTTATTGCAATGGTGACTAGCCTTTAGAAGTATTCATTATTATGAAATTTTTTGGATGCCCACAGGCACGAGAGCTACGATACAAATACAAGCTTTCTTTTTCTTTCAAAATGGCTACGAGTTACGAACCAGGCAGCATGATAAAACAATGCTCACCAGAAGGCCGGATTGTCTCGATTGTCCTGGATGGCCATCTCTTCCACATCTGGACCCCCGTCAGCCACAAACTTTGCCAGTTTCTCAATCACACTCCGGACCTCCGGGTCGTCTGGGGGTGAAACTTTAAGCAGGCTATCAGTACTTGAGTTCAACTCACACACCCAACAGTCAACAGCCAATCAAGGTCTACAAGTTTGGATAGGTAAGAGTAGGATACAGGGAAAGCATTGTTAAATCACACTCAAGTGGTTAAATGGAGACAGTGTCCCACACAACTGCATCTAGCTCTCAAACTTGAGTTTTAACTGGCCATAGGACAGATCCCTTTGTAAACAATTTACTTCACTGAGGGCACTATGTATGACATCTCCTCTCCACCAATAGAAAGGTGGTGATTGGCAACAGTCAGTAATAAATCCAAACAGACATTCAGAAATCTCTTTGCCCAGTGAGGGGAACTTGCTACCACAAGGAATGGATGACGCAAGCATTCAACAGTGAAGGCCATGAGGGAGAAAAGACTAGGATATGCTGACAGGGTGAGATGAAGACTAAAGGCAGGAGTCAGGTGAAGAGCATAAACACTGTCATAGACTTTTGGGCTGATTGGCATGCTTTGCTTCTTAAATTTGATTAACTGAAAAAAATAACAAAAATGAGGACAGTGAGAAGAATTCAGAACCTCATCCCATTGATGGACCTGTCTTGTGTCCCTTTCAGTCCTCACCCGTGACCCCATTACTAATTCTGAACAGTGCGTTATTGCCAGTGTCACATCTTCAAACAACATTAGCCTGTATCCAAATGTTATTAAGTGATCTTACAGACCATTTGGCCCATTGTGTCAGTGCCAGCTCTCCAAATAAGCATCTCACTTAGTGCCATTCTCCATGTAATCCTGCATTTTGATCTTTTTCACATAACCATTTAATTCCTTTTGGAAGTGTCGGTTGAACTTACTCTACCACACTCAAGATGGTGCTTTCCAGATCATAAATGCTTATTGCATTAAAAGTTTTTCCTCACATCATTTTTGCTTCTTATACTAATTAATTTAAACATGTATCCTGTTCTTGATCTTTTCACAATTGATGACACTTTCTCACTTACTCTGAATAAGCCTCTCATGATTTTGAATAAGTCAATCAGATCTTCTCCCATCCTGCCCCTCTCCGAGGCAAACAGGCCCAATTTCTCCAATTTAGCTTCATGACTGAAATTCTTCAATCCTGGAACTAATCTGCACTCTCTCCAATGTGACTGGAAAACTTTTGTTTAAGTTGCAGTTACTTAATCAGGCCACAATAAAGAGCAACTGTACAACCAGCAAGTCAAAACTGGTTTTCCGCTTTTATGGAAATACTCGTAGTTTCTTTAGATGGTTGAACATATTTTCTAATCAAGGTCTTCAAAATAATACAGGCACTGGTGGCAATAGATGCAGATAAACTATTTCCTCTAGTAGGGAATCCAGAAAATTGGATCATAACCTCTGAAAATTAGGCTTTGTCCGTTTCTGTTTAAAGTGGGGTTTCTCTAACAGTATCTTGGTACCAACAGACTAGGACTTTCAATAAAAACCTTCAGTAAGAAAGAACAGAATCTTTTATGGTGATAGGAGGAGTTAAAAAAGCATTGGAGATCTTTGCCTTTAGAAATAGATGCGTGGAGAATTGATGGGCCAAATAGCATCCTCTATAATTCTACAGAACACAAAAACAAGGAAGTTATTTTAATTATTTTAAAATAACAGGTTATGCCTCAATTAAGAATACTGCATCCAAGCCTGGCCACCACACCAGAGGATCAAAGTCAAAGCCTTGGACAGGATGCAGATGAAATTTGCTAGAACCTGGATGATGGATTGTAGTTGAGTGGAGGAGCTGGGTTGCTCTCCAGAGAGTGGCGGGGGAGAATTACTAGATGTTTTCAAAATGGTGAGAGGTTTTGAAAGAAGTCTTCAATGTCAGAAGCCCAAGAATATATATTTAAGATAATTGGCAAGACAACCAGGGTCAACAAGGGGAACCGTTTTCCAGGAAATGCAGTGAGTTATGATCTGGAATGCACTGCCCGAAAGGGTGCTAGAAATAGATTCAACAAGACTTGAACTGTATAGGTTTAGAGGGCTACGGAAAAAGTAGCAGAGAAAGTGGGATTAATTGGATAGCCCTTTCAAAGAGTTGACAGAGACATGATTGGCCAAATAAGCCTCCTGCATAATTCAATGATCTGAACACAGATTAAAGGCAAAAGGATGCATTGATCTGTTTTTTCCTGCATAGTTTACACTGTCCCAGATAGGAAGTTAGTATAACCATTAAATTGATCAAAATAATAAATTTCAATTCATTGCCCGTTTAAAGAGACACAGTGCATGTGTATGAGTCTGAGAGAGAAGGTACAAGTGGCCAGGCAAGTATGGAGGGGGGCACTATACTTCTTCATAGTTCAGTAGATGTAACATTGAAATAAAACAAGAATCTATCATTCTGAAATCAAATAGCCAATATCTGTCTGGAGGACTGGACAGATATAGGACATGGATGCCCTGCAGAGTTTCCTCTTACATTGCCACTGGGGATTCAATCTCAGAAAATACATGTCGGTCAGCAGTGTACTGCACCATCTCACAGCTCAGACTCTGGAGATACTTTTTTTTTGCCAAAGTTTTCTAATTAAGATGAAGAATTACTAAATGCTTTGGCCAGATTTCAACCCATGATCAAGAAATACAAAGTCAATAATAAAACCCGCTTGGACTGCTGAGTGTTGGCATCCACCCCACCATTTGAACTGTGTGCATTCTTGAAGCAACATGTGAGAGTTAAATCTTAAAGACAGATTGTCCCCATCCAATCCCCTACCTTTTGGCACTGACGAAGGGGTGATAGTGGTTGTGGTGGTGGAGGTCGCTACAGGGGCTCTGGGCACTGACAGTCCAGACTGCTTCTCTCGTTTGATTTCAGCCATCTTTTTCTTGTAATAAAGAAATGCTCGGCTGTTGCGATCATATAAAAACCTACAAAAAGTAGTGAAAACAATTCTCAGCACCTTTCACCTGGTTAACAAGTTGTTTCAATCCCTGGGTATTATATGGAAGATACAAAGTTAGGTTCCTGTAGGAATGTTATCGATCCACACTCACATTGTACCACAGCTATCAAATCAAATAAATTTGACCTGGTTTACATTTCCCAACCATATCTGTAACCACAGGCACCAGCATGTAGTAGATGTAAATACTAACAATGACGTAGATTCCAGATGAATGATGTTAGCTCAAAAAAGAACACGAGATAGACAATACTCACGAGAAGGCAGGGTTATCCCTGTTGTTCTGAATGGCAAGCTTTTCAACCTCATGTCCCCCATCTGCCACGTATTTTGCCAACTTCTCGGCGACACTTCGGACTTCGGGCTCCTCTGGGGGTGAAACTTTAAGCAGGCTATCAGTACTTGAGTTCAACTCACACACCCAATAGTCAACAGCCAAACAAGGTCTACTAACATAATTGGAGGAAGAGCAGGATACAGGAAAAGGATGGGTTAAATGAAGGACAAAGGCAATATTGAGAACATTTATGATGTAAAACATTCCATGCAAACATTAGGCTTTATCAGTGAGAGAAGAATTCAAATTATTTTCTCCTCCATCCTTCCCATTTCACAGCAAAGGAATGCTCCACCAATGACAGTGTGATCTGATAAAAATCAATGCCCCCTTTGGATTTTAGATATAGGCAGCTGAGAGGTTTTGGAAGTGAACTGCAGGCTATGCAGTTCATGAATCTTAAAGAGGTTAGTGGGTGGAGGTGTTAGAAATAGCCTTAGAAGAACTTGAACAAGGGAAAGAACTCATACGAACATAGGATTTAGGACAGCTGTAGACCATTTGGACCATTTAGCCTGCTCTACCATTTGATAAGATCATCGCTGGTCCAGTTGTGGTTTCAGCTCCACTTTCCAGTTTGGTCCCCATAACACTAGAATCCCCGATTATGGAATGGATACAGGCTAACATATTTAACCTTCCTTCACAAACGAAGTCCTTCATCCCAAAAATGCTGCAGTCTCCTCTCTCAGTCATTAACCGTGACCAATATTAGGAAGAGTGCACTTGGTTGTGATGGCTCTAATGTCCTGATACCCTGCTGATACTCACTGGCCAGTACATGCATGTGACATGACTGATGAACCAGAGAGTGTCTGCAGGACTGAATCCACAGCAAAAGTCTGGGGAAAGGACTGTGGAGCCAAAACAAACACTTCAGCTGTCATGCCTTGAATTTCTCCTGTTCTTGCCACCTGTCATTGGCACGTTGGAAGAATTAACAGGTCAATGCTGAACCTGTTTGGTCATGTTATAAACATATGCTCCCTGACCATTGAGTTCTGAAGTCGGTACTTCTGGCTCAGAAGCAACGACATTATCCAATACACCATAAGAACCACCCCTCCATCACCAGAAACCATCTGCCCCACATGGAGGCAGCAATTCCCCTGGCAACGTTCCACTGGCAATGTGCTTCCCCAACTAGACGGTGATCAGGGCAGCCAACCCAAAATAATTCTGCCTTGGATTTCCATTGCTGCATGACTCTGATGAACATTTCCTAATACACTTTTGGCATTACACACACATAGCACCATTCACAACTTCAAGATTATCCCAAGCCCTTTCCAGCTAATTGAAGAATTCTGAAGTGTAGTTACCGCTGTAATCTAGAAACAAGGCAGCTGTTTGGGACAAAGCAAGCTCCCATGTTCAGCAATATGATAATAAGATCATCTGCTTCAAAAGAAGTTGATTGAGGTAAAAGTTTCAGGACAGAACTGATCTACTCTTCTTTGCCCAGTTAAACCTTAATCTTTAGGAATGATTCTTAGAATTCGGACCAGGGAATACATTTCACATGGAGGGGAGGAGTTTTTTTTCTCCCTCTATCAGTGGGTTGTACCCTAGAAGCTGAGGAGGCTGGTTCATTGAATACATTGTAGGCAGTAGGAGATCAACTCCCTAGTCAGTCAAGATCCAAGGTTATCAGTTTAGGAGGGTTAGGATTGAGGCTTCAATCAGGTTAGCCGTGATGTTATTAAATGGCAGAGGATGTTAGGCAGGCTGATTGGCCTACTAATGTTCCTAATTTGTATGAGAATATTAATCCTTCCATTTTGAACCAGTGGAAAATTAGCTTTTTTTTTTTGAAAAGTTCATTCACAGATTGTGCATGTCACTGCATTGGCCAGCATTTATTGCCCAGACGGCAGTGATGAATCAAACATATTGTCATGGGTCTGGAGTCACATGTAGGCCCGTCCGGGTAAGGAGGCAGTTTCCTTCCCCAAAGGACATTAGTGAACCAGATTTTTTTTTCCTGACAATCAACAATGCTTTATGTTCCTTATTCATTATAATGGATACAGGACGCTCATCTCTCCTTATTTATCTTGGGTTTAGCCATTTACCAGCTCTGAGCAGAAGATTATTTGGGTCCCAGGTAAGTGAATCAAACTCAATCACTGTGAAGTATTCAGTGTTGTACTGTGGGCTGTAGTACTACTAGGTGTGCTGTCTTCTTGGTCAACACGTCTAAACGAACCTATATCTACTCCTCCTGGTAGCACAAAAGATCTGGAGATGAAAAGAGAAGCTCCCCGATGTCCTGGCCATTATTTATCACTCAACCAAAACCTAAAGACAGATGATCTGGTTATCACATAGCAATTTGGGAGCGCTCGCTGTGCACAAATTATCTGCCACATTTCCTTCGTTACAGTAATGACTATCCATACCATTCCTTTATACGTACCAATTTCATTCACTCAAGAAATCCTGACTAATTTTCTACAGCAAATGGTGCCATTTCCAGACTAGTCACCAATGACAGACTAATCACTAACTTATTACAAAAGAAGAGCCTGCTCTTCTAACGCAAATCCCCCCACTTCAGGATTTTCTTAGACTACTATGGAATGGTATTTCGAAACTCTCCCACTGCCTTTCCCAATTGACTGTTATTCGGTCAATTAAATATTGCTGAAATTAAGTTAGTAATGTGGATAACATAGCACCCAATTTGTACGACAGGGTACTAGTGTAGAAAAACGTAAGCCATGGAAAAGGAGACTGTACATCAATCAGACAGGATTCTGACTGACTCTTTCTAATTCAATGCAGAGAGAGCTGAAGAACTGAATTGAGGGCAATTTACCACCTTCAGGTAAAATGGGACTAAACAAATACCCCAACGACAAACTTCTCACCACAGCAGCTGTTAAACATGTAGATTCAACATCAACGATTAAGCAACGCAAGTTACCTTTCACTTCAGCCCACTGCTCAAGGTCCTCATCCTCCTCCTCTTCATCATCTGGTGATTGGAAGACACTGGGGCGGGCTGCGATTGGTGTCTGTTTGGCATGGGTGTAGTTCTTCATCTGATTTAACGTGCTTCCCAAAGATGCTACTCCTAGACCGGGTCGCTTCCCAATCAGAATCTGCCTCTTCTGTACCTGGGTCCCTGAGGGGCTGGTGGAGTTACTGCTGTTGCTTGTTGGCGTCCCTTCAGGGGGTAAAGAAAATTAAGGATCAGTGGGTCGAACATGGCAGTCAAAGACAAACAAAAGTCCATAGCACATATCACGAAGTTGCACTAAAGTCCCACTCAACACACACAACCCACCCCAACCCCTCTGTTCAAGTTGTATGGTAGAGTTATTAATTGGTCTGAACAGCACAACACGATATTACAACAACTCATATATCCTTCATTGATCTTCTATGGTTTTCGACTGGCACTAGGAATGAAGAGTAAATGCAGTCTTCAAACGAAGCTGTTAGAGGGGTGGACATTTGAACGAGGTGCACAGGCCTATTTCAGTCCATGTTTATTTGAGTAACATTTTTATATTTCTATTTCAAATTTTGTTCACACTTATAATATAAACTCGGCACATTCTAAAGAGAACTTCTGCCAGTGATGAAGCTGCAATGCAGGAACAGGATGAAGCCTCAAGCTTTTTCAAACATTCAACCTATTTTAACTTATTTTTCTAATCCACTTGTTCAGAAATGTTATTACACGCCTCTGGACCAGGTGGAACTTGAACACAGGCCTCCCAGTCCAGAAGTAGGGGTACTACCACTGTGCCACAAGAGAGTATAGACCATGAAATATCTGTATCTGATCTCTGTCCAGCTGCAATGGTTCCATAACCATTAATATCCTTGACGTGTAGGTGCCAGTGTTGGATTGGGGTGGACCTATATATATGTTATATATAGGTTATAACCTATAACCAGGTTATAGCCCAACAGATTTATTTGAAATCACAAGCTTTCAAAGCACTGCCCCTTCGTCAGGTGAAGTCAACTCTGCAAGCTTGTGATTTCAAATAAATCTGTTGGACTATAACCTGGTGTCATGTGACTTCTGACATTAATATCCTTACCCAACAAAAGTTCAAGCACAGTTTTGAAGGTCCTGTGGTTCAGTGGGTAGTGTCCCTGCCTCGGGCAGGAAGGTCCAAATTCGAGTCCTAAGGCAGGACTTATTGACCATGGAAGGTACACTCATGACAGTTCAACACGTTGATAATTAGTCTGCAAATTCTTCCAAAGCTTCCCCATGATACCCAAAGGAAGAAGGTATGTTTGAGAGAAACCGTGAAACAAAACTTCTGTTTTGCAATTTTCAATTGACTCTCAGCCGCCAGGCTTTTTTTTGGGAGGAGGGTGCATGGAAGAGACAGAGAGTGAATTCCAGCTTTTCATTACATTTTTGTGAAAAGGTCTTCCTGACATTACCCCTGCACATCCTGCCTCAAATTTTAAGTTTTGCACCCACTATTCTGGACTCCCTGCCATCAGAGGAATAGTTTCTCTCTCACTCTCTCAGCCATTGCTCTCACCATAATCATCTCAATTAGATCACCCCCTTGATCCTGAATACTCAAGGGGATACTAGGTTATGGGCATAACAGCATAATCATAAGATGACAACATAATATAGACAAATTCCATTGTAACTGCAGACAGAGGCATTAACTTGAATACAAACTGAAGGACTCTGACACATCAATGGGCTGAGCGGTGTTCTCGTTTCCTATCCTGTTATATCACTAGTTTTCTGGTCACCTCATCTGGAGTCACTGAATCATAGGGAGCATTAAGATATCAGCTGCTCTCCATGGCATTTTGGGATTATCTAGTGAAGACAGACTGAGAACACTGGACGTGTATTTCTACAGTTTCAAGAAATGAGACTAAATCACAATAAAATTACAAAATTCTATAGGGTGATGTAGATAAGACAGTCCTCCTGGTTGGTGCATCTAGAACTAGGAGACACAACCTCAAAAAAAGAGATAGGCTATTTACGACTGAGATGGTGAAGAATTTTCTCAAAGAGCGATAAATCATTGCAATTTTCTACCCTAAAGGTCTACGAAAGCACAATCATTGACCACATTCAATTCTAGAGCCAAATAACATCAAGGATATGGGGATTGCGTGGGATTGATGATCAGCCATGATTTAAATAAATATTGGAATATGCACAATGGGCTGAAAGGCCTACTCCTGTTTTTACGTTTTCATGTGAACATGTAATAGCGTGAGCCTAAGTCAGCATTTGGAAAATGGATCAAGAAGGAAGCCACAGTGAAGGTCAAATATGCACTTATATGTAGCAATCAGGAGCAGGCAGCATATCAGACCACAACCAAGGGCACTGAGGCAAAGTGGAGTATTTGAACTGTTGGACTTTTGGAGGTCTGCTATGTAAGTTATCCTACAAGTAAGCCTGACGAGATCTGCATTCTCCTTACCTGTACTTGCCTTCTCCTTCTGCATCTTTAGGAACTGCTGCAGGAAGCTCCCATCATTGGCAAACTTGTTGGATGTATTCTTTTGGTCATCATCTCTGTAGAATAATTAGAATGATGGTGAATTCCAGCAAAATTTAGACCCAGCCACAATACTACCTATGAATTCAATGTGACATCTTTGAAAATTGACTTTACACAACAAATAGAATGATCTTTCAAAAGCAACTTAACCTAGTAGAAAATTAATGGGAATTATGCCCATATGGGAGTAATATTAGTGTATCAAAGCTTATGTTGCATGTTAAACATAGGCTTTGGGTTCAAGCTGAATCCAGTCAATGAGTTGAAAGTGCTCTCTTAGGGTACATCAAGGATCTTTTGCGAAATTAGTTTGGTCAGCCATGGCTTGGTTTTTGTTGGAAATGGGAGAACAGTGACAAATGAAGACATTCAACATCTATTTAGCATTCAGATGGCCCCATACTGTACCTGTCCTGGGCATGTTTGATGAAGACAGTGTAGGGAGAGCTTTACAATGTATCTAACCCAGTGCTATACACGTTGTGATCATCAATTGATGCAAATATTAGGAAGCCTAACAAGAAACATGTTAATCCACAGTACTAATCTCCCTCACCAAAATAAACCCTAATTAAAAGTGAAGCACTGGCTACACGTCAATAAAGAGCAATAATCACCACGTACTCAGCAGCATTCACTTGCAGCTTTGTGAAACTGTCCTTTTTAGCCTTTGCCATTTTGGCTTCAATTTCTTTTTTCTTCTGTGCTATCAGCTCTTCTTGTTTCATTAGATTCACATACAATTTATTGGGTCTGTTAGAAGAGCCCAGGCGCTCAAGACTGAAGGATCGCTCACTGCTGGACTTGGTGGCACCACCAGCCTTACCTACAATAAAGAATTAAAAGATACAGTGTCAGTCAAAGAAACATCTATATGAAGGGAAATGCAAAGCTTACCCTCGAGTGTCAATTACTGCTTTCCAAAAACATAAAATGTGCACTGAAATAACTGGACACACCTGTAACCTAAGTTTAAAGGACCATTGAAACTTTTCAAATACACAGAGGCAGTCAGATCGTTCCTTATTATTCAAATCCCCAATGAATACAAACATATTACTTTCCACTCTTGGGATTATCCCTTCATCCCAGGAATCAATCTTATTAACTTTCAGTGCTTCATCCTCCATGGCAAGTCCAATGACTACAGACACTCAGTTGGGTGCATATTAGACTGAGACCAAGGTGGTTTTGGGGCACTAAAGGAATCATGGGGTTTTGGGATAGGGTTGATGTAGAAAACAATTACTGAATAGCAGAGTTGGGTCAATGGACTATGCAACTACTTCTGCTCCTATTTTTATCATCCAAACTGTTAATGCTATTTTAAGCAACATTCAAGGTCACTGATTTGATACATAAAAACATCCATGCAATCAGGGACCATAAGGGAGAGGGGTGGGATTGGTCATATGTTGATGCAGAGGGAATTTTCTTGGAAATAAAGTACTACTCACCAGTGGAGCAAATGGCGTTTATTCAATTTGGGAGGAGGCAGGAGGGTCAGCTTTGGATAAGTACGTGGTTTGGCTGAGGCGAGAATCGAATGAGATGGATAGAGCAAAGTTCATCAGTTTCTCACTGAAGAATGGGGGTTCAGCACGCAACATAATTAATGAACAGTTTTGCAATACAGACCGAATATTGGAACATGTTACGAGGACAATGAGACATCATAGTCCACCAGTACACTCCTACAGATACAACACAGTACTCTGTTAAAGGATAGTGAGTCCACACACAATGACACCTGCAGTCAACTCTTTACTGGTTTCTGAGAGTTACAAAAAAGTGATTTATACTCTTATGGATATTTACAAAAATATATAGGCATTGTCTGGTGAGGTTTGAGGCTCCAGAACCGTCCAGATTAATGATATCCCTCTTCCATGTGGTCACAATTTAGAAAATACCCTGATCTTTGCCACTACATTAATAAACACCAAAATAAAATTAGGAAGAGCTGAAGCTACATAACTGACTAGTCTGTAATTGTGAAAAACAAAGTCAGGTCACTGACATTTCAGGCATGTAACTCTTCATTAGAACACTACATCAACAGAATCATTGTATCATTTTGTGCTGCAGCAAATACCATATCAGCAGCATTCATAACCCTGGGTAACATGTAAACAATAACAGAAGTATTCCAAAAATTCATAATGTGTGCACAGCTGATATCCAAATCAGTAAATAACAGGATGTGGAAATTGATAAATTTTAAAAGTACCTTAGACAGCCCAGACCGTGGCTGCACTTGTGAGATACAAAAACAAAGTGTTTGCCAGTCAAAATTGATCCTTTTTTAAGATTAAATAAATTGACAACTCCTAAAGCATGAGCAAATTACAGCACAATGGTTCAGTGGTTAGCATGGCTGCCTCTCAGCACCAGGGATTTGGGTTCAATTCCAGCCTCAGGTGACTGTCTGTATGGAGTTTGCACATTCTCCCTGTGTCTGCACAGGTTTCCTCCCACAGTCCAAAGATGTGCAGATTACGTGGATTAGCTATGCTAAATTGTGCATAGCGTGCCAGGATCTATAGGTTAGGTGGATTAGCCATGGGAAATGCAGGGTTAAAGGGATAAGGTAGGTGGGTGAGTCTGGGTGTGATGCTCTTCAGAGAGTTGGTGTGGACTTGTCGGGCCGAATGGCCTGTTTTCACACTAGAAGGACTCGATAAGAAAAATTACAAGTGAAAAATCGGATGCTTCAAGAATTTTTTTGGTTAACAAATGATAGCTTAACAACTCAAACAAGGAATAAGAGCCTCCGCCGCTGCCAACACCACCACCACACTGTAGTTTCCCATCAGTAACATAGCACATAGTAAAAACAGGGATTAATAAATACTGAAGACTGTAAGTGGCAAGACGACATTCAGTTCGAGAAAAATTGAAAATACTCCCCCATAACGGCGGGTAATCTAAATTCCCAGCCCCATGGGTGGAGTAGTACCCACCATCAACCCAAAAATACGAGCACTAATCCCGCTATCTCCTTTATTTATGCTTGATCCTGGAACAGAAAGCGATTTTGTTTTTTTGAGAGCATTTTCCTTAATTGTGAATCTCATTATCTCTGGTGGGACAGTATTAATGCCATTCCCCATCCCTCAATACCCTAAAACCTACCTACATCTCCCTCCATCGCCATGGCTTCGATTCCTAATGCCGTCACTTCCGGATACGCGTCATAACCGTCATTTACGACAGGAAACTGTGTCTCGACGCGCAGAGCTCTCTGGGGGTTGTAGTTTAATGTTCCGTTGATCTCAATGGCAGGCGCCGATGAAAAACTACAAACCTGTTTTTTAGGCCCGAAAGTACCAGAAACTCATTCATCGTTCCACAGTGCCGCAAACATTCGCACTGGGACGTGGAATGTTGTGTTGTTTTCAATTGAACGAAGCGTTTGAAGGAATGCTTTGGATTTCGAAAGAGGTGCGCACGATGCTTCCGGTGGGGGGAGGGGAAGTGACGCGCCGGCAGCAATGGAGGAGAGGTTTTGTCCAGGTTTGTGGGGTTCAGGCGGGGAGAGGGAGTGGAGTTGGGGGAGGATGGGGATCGATCTGGGATCACACCCTGGGCCTGGGGACATGGCCAGAGGCTGAAAAACTGAAACCCCGCTCTCACAGCGGTTCAGAATGTAGTGGGTTCGGTGGCCTGGGCCTGTATGCGGTAACCAGGGGCAACCGTGCCTGGTGTGGCTCGGGGTAGAGACTTGGCCTGATCCTCACCCCGGGGGCGGGGGTATTAGAGAGAGGGGCTGGTAAACAAAACCCTTGTTTTGGGGGAAGGGGAGTGGAGATCTGATAACATTTTCCCGTCCGTCATTCCGGGAATGGTTGCTGACTCTGTTCGAATGCATTTCTGGAGATTTCACGGCACGAAGATCCAGTCTCTGACAGACTTACACTGAAACATAGAAACTAGGAGCAGGAGGAGGCCATTTGGCTCATCGAGCCCACTCCAACATCCACTATGATCATGGCTGATCTACTTCATCAGCGTCATACTCCCGCGCACTCCCCATGTTCCTTGATCGTCTTTTCTGTCCAGAACTCTTTCTCTCTTCAGTATATGTATGAAGCGTCTTCGCTTTCATAGCTTTACCTGGTAGATTTCCACATAAATGAGTAAATTTCTTCTCATTTCAATTCTAAATGGCCTACACTTTATCCTTGGACTGCGACCCCTTGTTCTAGATCTTCCCCCATCACGCCCCCAGCGTTGATTCCTGTCGTAGTCACTGCCTTCAACTCCAACAAAAACCCATTTATTCCTACTCCACTTACTGTGTGTTAAACAATTCTAATCCATGCCAATCTTCTGTGCTTTAAATTTGCACACTACCCTCATGTCGCATTTTCACAAAAGCTTTTTGAAAATCCAAATGCAGCACCTCCATTAGTTCTCCTTCATCTGTTCTACTGGTTACATTGTCAAAAAACTTGTTTTGGCAAACATGATTTCCCTTTCAGAAATCTGTACAGACTTTGTCTAATCCTGTTGATATTTTCTACGTGCCCTATCATTGCATCCTTTATAATAGGCGCCAGTGATTTAATTATTACTGATGTCAGGCTAACTGGTCTGTGAATTCTTGTTTTTTCCTTCCCACCTTTCTTTGAATGCAATGTTACATTTGCCATCATCCAATCTGTCAGGACTGTTCCAAAATCTACTTGGTCAGAAAATGACAACCAACATGTTGACCACTCCCATGGCCACCACCTTTAGTACCATGACATGTAAATGATCAGGTCCAGCATTTTTATCCAGTCTTGCTCAGTTTTCCTCATTTCCATATTCTTGTAACTAAAATAAAAGTTCAAGGAATATAGTCATAAATGTCAATATTTTTAATCCATTGTGATGTTTGACCTGGGTTGCTTGCAGCAGTCTCTTAGAATTTAAGTTTATATTTCTAGAGACTCCAGGCTAATTCTGGATTGCCATCACCGATACTACCTCCCCTGTCTGGGGTAATTGGGATGAAAAGGCCCTGCATGAGGAGAGGGCTTAATAACTCCCCATCAGGGTAACAAGATACTGTTTTGCCAACAAGTCTGCTGTTCTGTGCGTTCAGCCCCAAAGGCAACAAAACCCTTTATGGAGAGGGAGTTGATACTCCCACTTGGAGTAACAAGGGCTAACTGGCCTTGCATGGGAAAAGGGGGAAGGATCTGAAATCCGTTACTCAATCAACCTTCTCAAAGCAGCCATGTTCTGACATTTAAGGATATCCTAACTCTTAAATAGATTAAGAAATCACCCCAAATGGTGGAGATCTAAAACCCAAATTCAAAAAACTCTGGGATCACAAAACTATCAGCATTTCATTGATTAATGTTTCGGCTGTGGCGTGCCCTCACATTTTTTTATCTCATGCTGACAATTCTGTAGCACATACAGAAAATGTTCCGTCACTGCTTCTTGATAAAGTACTTTGTGCATTTGTGTGCAGGAAATGCTGTTTCTTCTGTTCAAGTTTGAGCCTCTCTATGGGTCTGTTTAAAAACTGTCTTACCCTGATACAGTCTTCTTCATTTATATCTGTAAGCAGTAGGATTGAGTTATATTATGTGTATAAAATCCCTGTAATGTCAACTGCATGATCTCCAGTATAGTGAAATATTTCTTTTGTTAAAATGGTTTCTGTCATATTCATATCTATTGCTGGTACTAATACCTAGTCCCATATAGCTGTGCCTCAAATTGGTAAACCATATTCCTGACAGATTTATTTCTTTTTGGAACCATTGTATAACATGGGTTACTTGTTTTAATCCCTTCGAATTTCAATCCCTGCCTAGTGATCAACTTCAAAGCACAAATCTGGGGTGTGCGGAAATTTCACATGTTTAA